TGTGTGTGTCTGTGTGAGTGTGTGTGTGAGTGTGTGTGTGTGTGTATGTGTGTGTGTGTGTGTGTGTGTGTGTGTCTGTGTGTGCGTGTGCATGCGCATGGGGTGGGTTTCTTGTACACTAAGGGTGGGGGGTATTTTTATCTCTAAGAGTTAAAGCAGTATGCATGATACAGTTAAGTTAAGTATAGTAAGCTTTTTACAGCACTTGCAACACAATAAGGTCACATAAAAGCCAAAGATTTGAAATGTTGCAAGAGAGCAAACTGTCCTAGACCTCCCGCCAACCACCCATACATGAAACAGTTTTGCCTGGGCGGTACACGTAGAGGAAGTAAATTGGCCAAATACATACTACTATCCCTCCTTCAGATATTGACTTCCTTGATGTTATCACGCTCCAAAGGTAAGACGGGGTCAACGAATTAAGAAAGGTGTAATTGGGGTGTCTTACAATAATTTTACTGGTGTGGTAAGGATATTTTTTGTGGAAGGGACTTAAAACTTTGAATTTTGCCCGGATGGCGGTCTTACGGCCTACTCTTCTACGACTTCCAACCGCCAAACCAAAACGAGCACAGTAAGTGCACGGACACTCCGAGATTTTTCGTCCTTATCCGAGAAGAATAGGTTCTCGATCTTATCTTTAAGATCAGGGGTGGTGGCAGAAGGAGATTGCATGAGGGAGGATGGCAAACTGAAAAAAAAACCCTGAAAAAAAAAAAGATTTAACGAAGAAGAGGAAAAGGACGGGAAAGAAAAAGAGAAAGTTGGACCTGCCGCCACGGACCGGGTTTGAGCCTGGAAACTTTGGCAAGTTTGGGTAAAAGTACACTTAAGAACTCCATTTGGAAATTAAATGATAAAGTGCGCATACCCTCCCTGGGGTTACATATTGTCGCTGCAATAAAGAAGCTTTTAACTTACTTAAAAGAATTGAGGGGGGGGTCAAAAGATTACATTTCCATTTCCTCAGGTTCGTATAAATCGTCTTGACCGCAGCAGCAATATTATTTTATGTTACTCCATCTATTTTACATCCTGTTATTTCATTTATTTATATTTTTGACAGGGGCGTCTAACCCTTACCATAACGTAGAATAAACCTCCAGAAAGCCTTTTTGAGCGGCATGTGATCTTGTAAACGACGTAGTGCTTTGGCGCTTCGCCCCCGCATTGAAGACACACGGGTTCGATTTCTTGTGGGGAGAATTTCTATCCAGTATATCCATCTTTCTGCTGGGACATTGCTTTCAACCCCCCCCCCCACCTCCATACACACGCTCTTACGGGATTGGCCTGGGCAAACGCGGTTGAAACAGCCCGCCTCTTACTCAACCTAATTTGTGTTGATGAAAATGTAAATGATGAAAATAATTATAACTGCAGGGTAAATCCTATCCGTTTTGTTTAGCTTAAGTCAAGTTTTTATGAACTTGCACAACTTTGCATCTTTTTCTTGAAACAAAACAAACCATACCCCAAAAAATCCAACCCCTCCCCCCCCCCAAAGAAAAGAAAAAAAAGCCAACAACAACAGCAAAACAACTTTCGTATAGTTACCAGTGATTGCTATAATTCTGCATAGTTTAGTACAGTGTTGTATGATTCGGCAGGTGTCTTTCTATAGTTTGTTACAATTCTGTTCGATTGAATACACCTTTTTTTTCGCAATTGGAAGTATTTCCTTTTTTTGTCCTATAAGTGCATGGAGTTTGGCACACATGTCGTACAGTTTTGCGTAATTCGTTACAGTTCTGTTCAATATGGTATGACTTTTGTCCAATGATATGTACTTTGTTATTATTAACTTTTTTGTTTGCTCATTCTCTGCCATACTTTCGTGGTCCAGTTGTTATCTTGGCTGAGTGGGGAAAGTAAATGGATCTTATCTCAAGGATATTTCACGTCTTCAGCCACTATATTTATTGAGTGCTTCATGCATTGGGGCTTAAGAAACATAAAGATATCAGGAAAGGCGATAGTAATTGGACGGCACGCTTCCGTGCTGTGTCCTTAAAAAGGGTGCTTAAATTTGCTTTAATTGAAAAAAAAAAAGGTTCCCTACTCCTTTTTTGCCTTTTACAAACAAGGTGCTCCAAATGCTGCTGTCGCCGCGCGCAGGCGATATGAGTTCGAATCCTGAGTGGAGAGGTTGGGTTTTGGGTGTTTTTTTTTTTTAAATCGAGTAAAACTCGTCTGTCAACTGTGACATTGTATTCCTCTCAGCCCGGGTTGGTCATGACAGACAAGGGCAAAACCTTCCATCTCCTTAATGATCTAAATTGTGTCAATGGGGGCGTGAACATCTACAGCAGCAACAACTAAATGACAATCCTCGGCCAGTTGTTCAAATGCAATAACCCCAGAATTCTGATTTTTTAAAACATTTTATTGGAGTTTCTTAACTTATGGCATCGGTTGCATATGCTCAAGGGGTGTTTTTAACAAAATTTGAATTCTAAATGAAGAGAAAAAAGAAGCAAGAAAAGATACACAAAGTAGGTGCAACTGTTAAAAGAATGAAACAGATTTTTCCATCTCCTGAAACATACTGCTTTCTCATTCTGGGCTTAGTACATTTTAACGACTTGCTGACAAGTTGTTAGGTCGATGTGCTGCTTCTCTTCACATAAAAACGAAACTAATCATAGACTTTAATACCTGGGTACAGACCGAGAGGAAGACCCAGGAAAAAGGTGGATTGAAGCGGTAAAGTACACATAAAATGTCTCATTTCCCGGCTCCAAGAGGTTTTCAGATCCAGTTGGCAAAAGCCAGACCGACGTCTCTTACTATCCACCGACACCTCACGGTATAAGCGACAGATAAAGTGAGAATAAAATCATATGTAATTAAAAACGAATAAAAACCCCCAACAATATGTGAGGTATCGTGGTGAAATCATGCGCTCGTCAAAATAATGCAATCGTAGATTTCGGCATTTTTCAGCCGGTCTGGCACTTTTGATCGAATTTGTGTTTTTTGGCTCAACATCAGAATCTTTTATGTCCATTTAGAAACATTTTTGTGTGGACTTTAGTGAAAAACGTTGATTAATGATACAAACATGTGAATTTTCAATTTCCAAGGACTCCCAAGCTATGGAAATCACCCAACTTTGGCTGGCATTTTCTCGCTAGTTATTTCCAAAACCTGGCGACCCTACCTCGTTCAATCGCAAATATCTCGACTTCTTTTCAAGATAGATTTACACTGTAATTTTTTTTCAATTGAAAGACAGACAAATGAACAAGATGATACCATGAACCACACATGCCCCAAAATTGAAAAGCGTCTTATTCCACTGCGTCGTGACTCATGAAATAAGTGGTCATTCATGTCTTACCTATAGACAGGAGCATTGCGCCATAGTCGTGACATCCAGCCTGACCCATGGCGGCTACTTTGAGAGGCGGGGCGGGGCCACGCGTAGCGGGGGCGTGGCGTCGGTGCTTCCACCTGGTTCGTCATACGTCACTCACTGGTCAGCCGTGGGAAAATGGGCGTGGCTTGTGATGGGCGTGGTTTGTGATGAGCGTCCCTTGTGTAAAGTTTACAATCTTTCGATTTGGGACATTTGCTGAAAAAACAACAACAACTAAACAATATAACCCCAACAGCATGAACACAACGTGTATAATGCCTTCAGTTAATTTATTTCAGGGAAAACAATGGAAAAGGAGTGAAACTGTATAGCTTTGACACCCCTTATAACAAAGTAAGATTATTAAAGAGGTGAAATTTCCGAATTTAAAGTTCATCTCCGATAGTACAGAGCCAAAAGAAAAAAAAATCTTGTAAAGTGCATTTCCCAAGGACACAACGTCGGTCGAGCTTTACTAAGCCTCAAATACCTGAACCCTTAGTATGTTTTAGTATGGGGTTTTACGGCGCTCGCAACTGCATAAGGTTATACATTGTACCTGGACCCGCAATCTCACGAAGATGAGTCCGAAAGCTTAATCCCTAGACAACCGATAAACATGAATATTATGTTCATTGTCCATGTATTTGTTTGACTTTTTATGGGAACAATTACGAATATACGCTCAACATTTACTACCGCAACACGATAAGCTAAACATCTTCAGTGGACGAGGGGGTCAGAGGGCTCAGGCTCACTGATAGTGTCAAGCAATGTCGGTGACGCTGTGGTCTAGGTGTGAGGTCATTGGAGTGAGTGCTTCAGCAAGACAGGGTGAATTCCTTTTGGACCAGCAAAAGATTGGGTCCCCTTTGGACCAGCTGTGTTCATGATTTCTAACTGTAGTTTTGGAATCAATTTCTCGATTGCCTCTTTCATTCGCCAAATACAACCGTTTAGGGTAGACAAGATATGCGATTTCGAAGACCTGCTGTGGGTTTGTTGCCCCCTGTTCACCCACGGGGAAGCGGAAGAAGGACCTCGAGTAGGACAAAATGTTTGATTTTTTTTATCACTTTGCAGCTGGATAGTTGTTTTTTGTTGTTGGGGGGGGGGGGGGGGG